TGTTTTGCTACAGTCTATCACAGAATGTCAGTAAACTGATGTGTGCCAAAAAAGAGCGCTTCATGTTTATTTGGGTGAAAACATTTTAGAAATAGTGCATGTCTCCATCTTGTTAAGCTGAAGTATGTTCACTGTAATTTAACCTTTTCTTAATGATTCAGGTTCTTTATTAGAAACTATATTTTTGTAGGTTATAAAATCTGATGATCGTGTTTATTAAAATTATTAGTAGCCCAGTGCATGAAATTCGTGCATGGGGGGTGGGGAGTGTTCCTCAGCCCAGCCTGCACCCTCTCCAATCTGGGACCCCTCAAAGAATGTTCTATTGCCGGTGTACAGGATCGGGCTTAAACCAGCAGTTGGACATCCCTCTCGCAATCCAGGACTGCTGGCTCCTAACCACTTACCTGTCTGCCTGATTGCCCCTAATTACTATACCAGCCTGCTTGCCCCCAACTGCCCCCTGCCACTGGCCTGCACGCCCCCAAATGTCCCCCCTCACCAGCTTAATCACCCCTACCTGCCCCCCCCTTGCTGGCCTCCTTGCCCCCACCTTCCTTCCTCACTGGCCTGCTCGCCCCCGATTGCCCCCCTGCTGGCCTGCTCACTCCAAACTGCCCCCCCCCCCCATTGTCCTGATCACCTCCAACTGACTCCCACTGACAGCCTGCTCACCAACTGGCCACCCTGTTGGTCTGCTTACCTCCTCCAGCCTGATCACCCACAAACTGCCTTCCCCTCCTGGCCTCTTAACTACCTCTACCTCGGCCCTGCCACCATGGCTTTTTCCAGAACGTCTGGAAGGTCTCCCAGTCTAATAGGCATATTACCCTTTTATTAGTATAGAGGCTTGGTGCACAGGAGGGGGCCAGCTGAGGTTGTCTGGATCAGGGTGGGGGGTCCCACTGGGTGCCTGGCCAGCCTGGATATGGGGCTGATAGCTGTATGCAGGCTGGCCACAGCCCCCAGTGACCCAACCTCCCAGATGCTCCTTTTTTGCTTTTTTTTTTTTTTTTCAGTGCCTCTGAGCAGACGCCAGGGCAGGCTGGAAGCAGGTATCTAGGACTTATTTATCTTCTATAATTGAAACTTTGTAGTCTTGAGCGGAGGCCAGGGCCAGCCAGGGCAGGCAGGAAGCTTGGCTTCCTCCATTGCTGAGGGCAACCCAAGCCTCCTGCTTACTCCAGCTCGGTGGCTGCCGCCATTTTTGTTGGGTTAATTTGCATACTCGCCTGTGATTGGCTGGTGGGCATAGCTGGTGGGCATAGCGAAGGGAGTCAATTTGTATGTTTCTCTTTTATTAGATAGAATTCTTAAAATAAGAACAGATTTATGTTATTGAACCTGAATTTGGATTTCACCTATATTTCTAGCTGTATCACTAGATTTCTCCATGCACTGACTGTGGATAGAGCATTGGTCTTTGGACTGAAGGGCTTCAGCTTCCCTTCTGGTTGGGGGACTTGTCTCAGGTTGCAGGTTCAATCCCTGAAGTCAATGAGTCTCTATTGCATCACTGTTTCTCATCTCTTCCTCTCCCTGCCACACTCTCTCTAAAAATCAATGAAAGAATATCCTCAGCTAAGGATTAACAACAAACATGGCTATGACTAGAAAGAGGTATGAAAGATTTCTTGGGTGCTAATGACATTATTTTGCCTTACTTGGGTGATAGTTACTTGGGAGATGTTCACTTTGAAAAATTTATCATGATGTAGTAGTCTTTTAATTTTACATGACCTCCCATTTATTTTAGAAAACCTTGCTTAATCTTGCTTTACATAATTTATAGCCAGCCTATCCTGACTGGCAGTTTTCTTACAGATGGCTCCTATGCTGCTTGTCTTGGTTCTTCTTTCCCTCTATGGACCGGCCTCCTCATTTGAAATCAATAAAACATACCTTTAAAAATGTACTGCTATCCTATTTCCCATTCCTCCAATTCTGAGGGTTCTGAGCCCACAGCAAATCCCTAACGTCCCTTATTAGTGACAGCTTCCTTCCTAGCTCTGTACTCTCAGGCCCTCCCCCTTCTTCCTATAAGAAGTGGACAGTTCTCTCTACATATGTATGTGTCAACTATCTTTGACCTCAGCTTTATTTACCCAAAAATTGAAGTCAGAGCCATGACTTCTAGATTGCTGCAGGCTCTGACCTGCAATGCTGAAAAATATTGCTCAGTATTTACAGTTGACAAGAATATTCCTTCCTAGTTAATGTAGCATATTGGCTTTTGAGGGGAAATCAGTATTTAAATTTGAATTAAGAACTTCTTTGGATATGAGTCTGAGGAGATGGGGAAGAAAAAAGGAAGAATATAGTTATTTCAGAATTGTGATTGATTTTAAGATATGTCTTCATTATTTTAGAAAGAGCCAAGAACAATATGTAGTAACTGCTAAACTACATTTTCATAATTCCGAGAATGCAAGAGGCCTTTCTTTTAATATACTCATATGATATTTGTAGTCAACTGCAATCTTTAGTTTCAGGGGAATGGAAAACTTTTCTCTGAGGGATCTACAAGTTCGAACCTCCCCCAGTCTAACCAAGCCAAAAATGGTTGACATTCACAGCCCAGTAGAATATGTTACAATTATCTATCCATACTGATCAATTTTAGAAGGTCCTACTGTCATGTGATGTGGTTTCTTCTTTATGTGGCATATTAACTAACAAAAGGGGAAAAACGCAAAATTAACTGACTGCCATGCTGTGTGTGGCCTGGTGAATAAACAAAAAGTAATGTGGGAGCCCTAACCAGTTTGGCTCAGTGGACAGAGCATCAGTCTGAGAACTGAAGGGTCCCCGATTCGATTCTGGTTAAGGGCATGTACCTTGGTTGCAGGCACATCCCCTGTGGAAGGTGTACAGGAGGCAGCTGGTCGATGTTTCTCTCTTTGATGTTTCTAACATCCTATCCCTCCCCTTCCTCTCTGTAAAAAATCAATAAAATATGTATTTTTTTAAAAAAGGTAATGTGGGAGTATTCAGTCAACAATATTTATAAACAAATCCTATACAATATCACATAGCAAAAGTCTAGATCAGCAATTTTTAACCTTTTTCATCTTATGGCACACAAACTACTAAAATTCTGTAGCACTCACAAAAATGTTTTGTCGATCTGACCAAAAAAAAAAAATAGGTATTAATTTGATTCATTCTCACTGAACAGCTATTGTTGTGTTGACTGTTGTCTTTTCTTACTTGACAATCTAAGAGAAAAGAGATCAGTGCTCTAACTACTCAGGTATTGCATATTTTAAAAGTTCTTGCAGCACACCAGTGTGATGAGGCTAGACTGTTGAAAAATCCCTGGTCTAGATTGTCTTATTTTAGGAAAGTCTAAAAACAGTTTCCAGAATGGGAAGTGGGGTGAGTTGGGGGATGAGGAACCTGATTCAATCTAGCACAGAGGGCCTCAGCCACCACCCATGCAACTAACCAGCAGAAACAATCAAGCCTAGGCACGGACCATAAGTAGCCAAAACCAGCTTTCAAGCCTTCCCCAGAGGGGCCTGAGTAAGTGGCTGTGAAGCTACATCCATTACCTACTGGCTGACTTTAGCTCCCACATCTTCTATTCTTGTAAGCACAGAGCTGACTAACAGCAGGAACAACATCTGCATATAGTAAATGTGCAAAGTTTCTATTACCATAGCTGTTGATCAATCACACCACCATTGTTAACACACTGCCCTTAACCACAGGATTCATGACAGCTACTTTGGCTTCACTCTGATGATAAGGACTAATGTTGACTGAGCTCTTATTTGCCAGACAGTGTACCAAGCATTTTTTTTTTCTTTTTTACTTACAACACAACGGATGCCAGCCGGCATGGACTACTATTAATAACTACTACTTACCGATAAGGAAAATGAGACTCAGAAAAATTGTTACTCACTCACAGTCATTCAGGAAGGTGAAGAGCTAAAATTTGAAGCTAGAAGTTCTGAGTTCAGACAGAGCCCCACTCTTACCACTTATCTGGTACCACCTCTTCACCTGGTCTGCTAACATTTTATTACCAACTTTCCTCTATTAACTGAGTCCTCTCAACTCGCAGGCACAGTGATTCATCACAGTTCTCTGGGTATGACACTACAAGATTCAGAAGTTCTCATTTGTTGAAATCAGACCCAGGACCTATTGTCTCAGGCAGTGAGAATGATGGCACCCTTCTCTGCTGCTTAGAGGGATGGAGTTAGGAATAGCAGTCCACCCCAGGTCTCATGAGTATGAAACTTACAGGAAGTCCTATTCTAGGAAGAACCAGAATGTCCTCATTCTTGGCTGGCTTGACAGTCCATTTTCCCACCTTGACCTCTATGCACTGTGGTTTAGTTTGAACTTTTATGTGTATATCTTTGATTTTCAAATTTCTATTTCCTGTTAATTCTATCTATTCCAAGAGATGACACATGAAATTTACATTCATTAGAAGATAAAAGCAAGCTTTGAAATGAAGGAAAAATAACATTTGAGTAAACAGTCATGACATTTACATTCAAGTTCTATTGCAAGAAACATTTAAGGACTGTAAGTTTCATTAGATGATTCCATGTTTTTGTTGAGATATATAAAAATATTTTCTAAAAATATGACAAAAGACAATGTAAAATTCGTATTATACAGGACATTTAAGTTCATCCTCAAATGTTCCTTTTTAATAATCTAACTGCAACTTTTAGGTCTAGAGGGAAAGAGTCATTTGAAACCTCCTTCTGTGACCACTGTTTACACATTTAAACTATGGGGAAGAGTCTATTAGAACTTAGCTTTTCAACTGTTTAAAATAAAAGCAAGACACAAATCAGTATGCAGTCAGATGTGATATGAGAGCCAAGACAGTTCTTAAAACTCCGAGTTGCATTAGGTAGAAACCAGTCTAGAAACTCCTGTTTTCTTCTTCCTTCATTCCTATTGGTAATTCCAGAAGTCCATATCATGCTCCCTTAAGTTTCTTATTGTTATCTTCACATTATACACAGATCTCACAGTGCATTATACTCCACACATTTTGATGGATCTGTAGGAAAGTGCTTCTGGCAAATCGTCATTAACCTCTTCAATCCCTAAAAAAATAAAGGTTGGTTATGATACAGTCGAACTTTTCTTAATTGTCCTATACTCAATCCTGTTTACCAATATCCCCATTAAAATATTGCAGTGTGGCTTGGTTGAGCGTCACTCCAAGCACTGAATGGTTGCTAGTTCGATCCCAAGTCAGGGCCCATACCCAGATTGTGTGTTGGATCCCCAGTCAGGGTATGGGAGGCAACCAGTTGATGTTTCTCTTAAACATTGTTGTCTGCCTTTCTCTCTTTAAAAATAATTTTAAAAAATAATATTTAAAAACAGAATCAATCAAAATAATTTTAATAAATAAAATAAGGCAATCCCCAGCAATACTACTCAGATGTATAATTAGAGAAATGTTTATTCATGTATGTATACACAAAGATATGAACAAGATGGTCATAGCAGAATTGTTCACAATAACAATAATAGCAAAAGAACCAGAAATAACCCAAATGTCCATCAGAGGAGAATAGATGAAAAAGTGTGCTCGCAAATGGAACATTTTACAGCAGTCAAAATGAATTAACTAGACCTACATGGAACAGCTCAGCCCTTCTCCACCAGGTTCCAGGAGAGAATTAAGCTCCACTGCCTAGTATAAAGCATCCATTGTACATAATGAGATAGCTCCTTTCCTGTGTATCTATAGGGTGCTACATATGTACCATCTTTAAAAAACATAATAGGCATTCCCAGCTGGTGGGGCTTAGTGGTTGAGCATCAACCCATGAACCAAGAGATTGCTGGTTTAATTCTCAGTTCGGTTCACAAAAATTAAAACCACCCAATTTCTATCACAGTAATAAGACTAATGAAATCCATAGGTTGACTATGTTCAGGCCTATATTAGATATTGAATAGCTTGGTACTTAATTATTATTACCCCCAAATTAATTTTCTGTTCTTAAAAGAAGAGCTTTCTGACCTAGTGGAAAAGTTGAGTATCTATCTATACATATAAAAGTCTAAGCAACTGTTAAGACTGGTTGGCTGGTTGCTATGACGCACACTGACCACCAGGGGGCACATACTCAATGCAGGAGCTGCCCCCTTGTGGTCAGTGTGCTCTAACAGTCAATCTCTCATGGCCATCCAACCTCTCACGGTCCCTATCCCCCAGCTGACTAGCCCCAGTTGTCCCTGATCAGGGTGGCCAGCCAACCTCTTACAGTCCTTCCCCACTGCCAACCAACCTCCCATGGTCGCTCCACCTGGGGTGAGACAGCCCCAATAGGCTCCAATGGCCAGCCAGGCCAAGGGACCCCACCCATGCACAAATCCGTGCATCAGGCCTCTAGTGTGGCTATAACTTCACAACCCAAAACCAGAAGTGCATATCTGGAATCTAAGAAGGAAGGGTAAAAGGAACACCATGAAATCATTTTTTAAAATGCTAATATATGTGAATAACAGGTACCTGAAACATAATCAAACATTTAGAACTCTTAATTACTTTGTAATTACCTAAGTATTCAAACAATTCATAAGTTCAAAATAATAAAACAAAAATTCCTGAAAAATCTCTTTGGTCCCATAGTAAGGAGATAACACAAATATAAATTATTTCTATGCATTGTTCTATAGAGTATTCATTCAACCACAAATATTCAGTGAGTACCCACCATCAGACTCTGAGGGTATAATAATGAACTATATTCTTAACTTGTGGAACCAACACTAAATTATTGTGTAATAATGTAACATAAGCTATCATTGGGCTTTACAGTGGCCATATCATATTACTAATTTTATATTTATAGCCCCTAAATTACTCAAGTTTTCCTCTTATACAATGCTCATATCATACATATATGCTTGAGAAACTAGGTTATTGGATCCAAATTTATTTATACAATCTGTCCTTTTCTTTAGTTCATCAATTTTTATGACAATTTCTTTTCTACCTTAGCATCTTTTAGCTTCTTGCTGTCTACAAATCTGATATATACCTCTCTGTATCATCATGAGTCAGTCATTAAAATGTTGTCCAGGACAGTACTGAGGTCACTAAGAACTAATGGTGTATGTTACTAGCATGCACCAAAGTAGACATGGCTTCACTCACTTAACAAGCTATGAGTCATCTGACTGTATTGTCTGTCATGTCTATATCTGTCCACAAAAATATTATTGCGTTTAAGTCAAACACCTTCCCAAAGTTCAGATATAGTATGTTTGCCATTTTCCCTAACCATGTTGAGGACAAAAAGAATTTTTTTTTTAATGAGAAGGTAATAGTTAAAATGGATGAACAAGTAAGTGGGTAATGGTCACTTAACATTTGAGATCTTGTTCTCCATCATATGTCATCAGTTTGGTTCAAATAAACAAGTAAATAAACACTAGGTATACTTTTTAAAAAACAGTTTCTGGGGATGTACCATTATTTAAAAAAGAAATGCTCTTTAATTAAGATAATTTATCTAATTATATGAACACTTACACTATTGCTCTGACCAGTGTACAGCTGAACAAACTAAGCAAACTTAATCATTGGAATTGTTTTCTATTGGTAAAGCCCCAAACTTTTTTTTCCTAACTAAAAGCTTTTTGCCTTCAATTCAGTCACTGGTGGTTATTTGAATAAATGAAAATGTCCTAAAATTTTCGTAAGTATATTTGAATTCTACAAATTCTACAGTTTATATCAGGGAATTAGATAGAAATCATTTTTTAAAATATATATTTTTTATTTTTTCAGAGAGGAAGAAAGAGGGAGAGATAGAAACATCAATGATGAGAATTGTTGATCAGCTGTCTCCTGCACACCCCTACTGGGGATCAAGCCTACAACCCAGGCATGTGCCCTTGGCTAGAATCGAACCCAGGACCCTTTAGTCAGCAGGCCTACACTCTATCCACTGAGCCAAACAAGCTTTTAAAATCCTAATATATGTGAACTAGAGGCCCAGTTCACAAAATTCATGTGGGGGAAGGGGTGAGGGGAAAGAAGGGCGGTGTTCCTCAGCCCAGCTTGCACCCTCTCCAATCTGGGACCCCTCGAGGAATGTCCTACCTGGATCAGGCCTAAATGGGCAGTCAGACATCCCTCTCACAACCCAACTGTTCGCCTGCCTGCCTGCCTTTCTGATTGCCCCTAACTGCTTCTGCCTGCCAGCCTGTTCAACCCCCAACCACTCCCCTGCCAGCCTGATTGATGCCTAACTGCTCCCGTCAGCCTGTTTGCCCCTAACTGCCCTCCCCTGTAGGCCTGGTCACCCCTAACTGCCCTCCCCTGCAGGCTTGATCGCCCCCAACTATCCTCCCTTGAAGGCCTGGTTCCTCCCAACTGCCCTCCCCCTGCTGGCCTGATAGCCCACAACTGCCCTCCCTTGCAGACCTGGTCCCTCCCAACTGCCTCCCCTGCTGGCCATCTTGAGTCCACATGGGGGAAGTCATCTTTGACCACATAAGGAGTAACAGTCAAGTTGCATATTATTATTTTATTAGATAAGGATTAGATAAGAGAGAGGCCTGGTGCACGGGTGGGGGCGGACTGGTTTGCCCTGAAGAGTGTCCCGGATCAGGGTGGGGGTTCCCTTGGGGCATTGGGTGGCCTGGGTGAGGGGCTGTGGTGGTTGGAAAGCCAGCCACACCCCTCAGCAACCCAAGCAGAGGTCCTGGTATCTGGGATTTATCTTCTATAATTGAAACTTTGTAGCCTTCAGCAGAGCCAAACCTCCTGTTCGCTCTGTGACTGCAGCCATTTTTATTGGGATTTGTTTATCTTCTATAATTGAAACTTTGTAGCCTTGAGTGGAGTTCAGGGCCAGCCAGGGCAGGCAGAAGCTTGGCTTCCTCCATTGCCAGGGAAACCCAAGCTTCCTGCTCTCTCTGTGGCTACAGCTATCTTGGTTGGGTTATTTTGCACACTAGCTCTTGATTGGCTGGTGGGCATGGCTTGTGGGTATAGCGGAGGTATGGTCAATTTACATGTTTCTCTTTTATTAGATAGGATAAGGCCTAACACAAATGAACATTTATCACTTGGAATTAAAATGCAAACAAAAAAGATAATCCATGAATATGGTAATGATTGTTCTCTGGCACAAATTTGAAAGCACTTTATGCATTTTAAATGAACTTTAATTTTTTTTAAAAAAATTTTAAAAAATATATTTTATTGATTTTTTTACAGAGAGGAAGAGAGAGGGATAGAGAATTAGAAACATCGATCAGCTGCCTCTTGCACACCTCCTACTGGGGATGTGCCCACAACCAAGGCACATGCCCTTGACCAGAATCAAACCCGGGACCTTTCAGTCCGCAGTCTGACGCTCTGTCCACTGAGCCATACCGGTTTTGGCAAATTTTAAATTTTAAGTAAACTTTCAGAATATCATCTTCAAGTTTTAGAATTAACATCCAGCAAATGCCATTACACAGATACAACCTGGGATTCTTGACAACTTGGCAAATGCTAAGAATAGAGTTGATTTTTCCCATTACAAAGAAAAACTGAACTAATAACAGTGAACATGAGTTCATGCGAGGTATATACAACTACGAAAATAAACTTTAAACACTTTAAAGTTATTTGTATAGAGAAGTATTGTTGTTATATGTTACTTAAAAATTATGTTCATTAAAGCTAAATTTATATTATTCAGATCCTTAATCCTAGATGATAAATCTACCTTAAAAATAACAAGATTGCAAAATACTCTAAATTTACTGCTCATCACTAAACTTCTACAACAAACTACAATAGTTTTATTTCAATGCTAAGGTAACTAAAAGCATAACCTTATAGCCTGTCTTGTATCATATATGAAACTTTAAAAGTTTTTATTTTATTCAGTGAAGATGTCTTAATCACAAGTATTTATAAAAAATGAACTTAAGCCCTGACTGGTTTGGCTCAGTGAATGGAGCGTTGGCCTGCAGCCTGTGTACTGAAGGGTCCCGGGTTCAATTTTGGTCAAGGAAACATGCCCGGGTTGCGGATTCAATCCCCAGTCCAGGGTGTGTGAGAGGCAGCCGATTAATGATTCTCTCTCATCATTAATACTTCTATCTCTCTCCCTCCCATTTCCTCTTTAAAATCAATAAAAATATATTTTAAAAAAAGAAATGAATTTAAATCCTATCATGCTATATCCTATTTGCTATAATTCCTCTGCTCTCAAAATATAGTTTTGAAATTGGAGAATGTTAACCTCCAGAGAAATGTCCTTTCCATCCAGACTGCTTACCTGAATATATTTCCGCTGTGTTTCATCATTTAAAACATGTGCAACGTGCTTGGAGAAAATCTTTTCCCTACCCGTTCTGGCATGGATACCAACCATAGTGACACCAATGGGCCATGGGGCATTTCCAATGGCCATCTGAAGATAAGCATCATTAGCCTAGAAAGAAAGATTAAGAAGAGATCAGAAAAGCAGAAATAATGTATTGGTCCACATTTTTATTTCAAGTATCTCACAACTCTTGATGCTGTAATTTTCATCCATTTCTTAAGCAAGTTGAAAATATTACCATCTTCCTTATTCAAACAAAAGAAATTAAAACATGGAATGACTGACTGTCCTGCCCCGGCCACAAATGTCCATGGAAAAACAGAACCAAAGCTAACCTTGTGAGTAAAAAGACAAACATTCCTAAGCAGCCTCTGTGCACTGACAATTGATGCATTTCAGATCTGGAATTATCAGGTAGGTAATTTGATGTACTGATAGAAACTCTAGTATGGGTCTCCTTTCTGCCTAGTCTTCTCAGCAGGTGGTCACACAGAAGACAGAGTCTGTCTAGTTTTCCATAATCCAACCTGAAACCATGTCCACTCCCTGAACAGCAGTCAGAGACAGTGGGAGCTCTGCAGGCTGGGACTGCTATACAGGTTGTAAGGCCCATGGCAGATGGTAAACAAAGATTAAATACTGGCCCATGAGTCTAATAGCTAAAGGATGAGATTGGCCCTCCAAACCTCCCACCTGGCAAGAACCTTAAAATAAAAGCTACAAAATATAAAGACAGAAACCAATGAAGACAAATAGCTACTTTTCTAAACCAAGCCTGGCAACTTGTGAAGAGGGAAAAGAAGTAAGAAAACAAAATAGAAAGCAGTTAAATTCTAAAAGACTCTGAGGGTCTCGGAGAAGCCTACATAGCCAGGCCTCAAAGAGATTTTAATTTGAAAACATCAAACACCTATGTGTTTGATATGCGGTATTGATTTTTTTAAAATATTATAATACAAAATATTATATTATAATATTAAAATATTATAAAATAACCCATACTACAAATGGGTTAACTGAAAGATCATTTCTATCCTAAAGATAAATCTGAATTTGTTTTATTCAAATTTTGTTACTTTTCCCGCCCAGTCTCAGTCTGAACACACTCCATCATCTGGTTTCCAGAAATCAGATTGCGCAGTGGTCTTGTCATCATCGACCAGGGCTAACAGTTCAGCGGAAGAAGTCTCCCTAAATCTCCCTCATCTCTAGCCTAATGGGTTGCTCATTTCTCCATCCCGCTCCCCGGTTCACCTGACCTGTTATAATCCTCTTAGGCTCTGGGCAAGTGTCGCTGCCAATTATATAAGGGGCCCAGTCATATAAGGAAAATGCTGTGGGTCCATCTGGGAGCCTGGGGACACTCCTGCCCTACGACCCTCACTGCAGCACCCCCATACCAACCTCCTGTTCCCACTTTTCAACCCCTGCCACCCCCTATTGGCCTAACTTCTCAATTTTTTTAAGCTTAATTTTAAAAGGGCGTATACACATTTTTATCACTGATTCCCATGTATGTTAATTTTAATACTTGATATTAATTGAAAATTTCCAGTATTTAGTTTCCCTAAATTTCTAAAGAAAACTGCTCAAATAGGTTATTTCTTGGTTCTTTCTGTAGTTTACATAACATAAACTTGCACTTGATTCTCATATATGAGAATGAGAAATGTAATAATAGGAAAGGCAAGTGATCTAAATTCTTTCTGCAGTGATGTGACCTAACCATCCATTCCAAATCAGTCCTTAGTAAGCAGCATGCAATTAACAGAATCTACCCAAGAATAAAGTTATAGAAATAAAACAAAAGCATTTTCTTTGAAGAAACTAACTGGCTCTCCTCTAGAGGGAATAAAAACAATACCTTAGGTTTATCAGCCTGAGGTTCTGATCAAGGAGACCACTCAATCACCCAGGAATGCCAGCGGTCCCTTCTCATGAATACAGATACTCAGAGCACAGAAATCAGCAATGTCGTTCCACATTTCTGTCAGGACCTGTCTCCTGCCCTGGAACTGTCACTCTAACTGCACTGAAATTCTTATCTGCTACTCACTTGGGAGGTAGAGCCACCCGAAGCCTCCTCTTCACCCTCAGCTTATGGCCCACCAAGCAGTGTCCTTCGCTGGGGCACTAGGCCCTTCTCTTCTTGGTCCCTCCTCCAGCTGACAGCCTTCCACTCTCTCCCTTCTAAACTCTGCCCCAGCAGCACTTGGACACCAGAGCTCTTCCCCATGCCACCTGCTCCAGAGCCCACCCAGGAGGAAATCACTGCAACAAGGGAAGTCTTCCCCTACAATGCGTCTGCTACTGCTGCAGTCATGAAACCCGGGAGATGAGCGCGAGGAGCCTGACTTGGAACATTTCTCATAGAAACACATAAAAAGGGTGGTCAGATTCCACTGTATCATTAGTACAACACTTTAGCTATATTACGAATTAAGTCGATATTTATAGCATTGTTTCTATGGGAAATTTTGTTCCAAGCTATAACCAACAATCTACAAATTTCTAAATTCTGTCCCACTTGTGAAATGTACTTTGCCCACATCTAGTACATGATCTTAAGAATTTTTACACTTATTTTTTAAACGACAAAAAAATATAGTGTGGTCTGAAAGTTTAACGTTGAATGCCCCACAATAAAACTGACAATACATAAGAAAATAAAAGGTTTTCGGTTTTGGTAGATTTTGTTGTTAATCCTCACCCCAAGGCTATTTTCCATTGATTTTTTTAAGAAACTCAAAGGGGAAGAGGGAGGAAGGGAGGGAGGGAGGGAGGAAGGGAGGGAGGAACATTGATGTGAGAGACATCTATTAGTTTCCTCTGCACAAGCCAGGACCAGGGCTGGGGAACAAACCTGCAGTGGAGGTATGTACCCTTGACTGGGAATCGAACCCGAGACCCTTTGTTGTGCAGGCCAATATTTTACCACTGAGCCACACTAACCAGGGCAAAAGATTTTTGTTTTTTAACTACTAATTCATTTTACATTTCTTCTTCAGTTTCCTATGTAAAACTCTCCCACACTAAATGAAATATAATGTTCACAACATAGACAAATAACCATACTTCCAATGCACAGCATGATAATGTACCTTCACATATTCTCTCTGTAACATGAATTTAATAATATCTGTTATGGATTCTTTAATATCAGCAGGAAGATTCTGGAAAAGAAAAAAAAAGCATAATTAAATTTGGAAGCTACTCTGTAGTTACAGACTGCATTTATTCTAATTTTATATGTTCTATTTTTTAAAATTAGTTAATAAAAGCATTTTTTGAGAAAGCTTACCCTTTTCCGCAGCTTTCTGAAAAGGGGTCTGAGATAAGACTCGGTCTGTTTCTGAGTAGCACTGTTCAGTTTGCCTTGCACACTGCGCTTCACATAATCTTCTCTGGCATTCAATTCTTTAGCCCAAACACCAAGAAGAAACTAACGAGAGTGGGTAAAATTAGATATAATGCCATCCAGTTGTTGAACAAGTTTAAAGTTCCCCAACACACAAAACAGTTAACTGTCATCCTTAGAATAAACTTCTCAACTGATTACAATACCATCCACTAATATTTAATGAACTATGCTTATTCTGTCATATGTTTTGAAGAAGTGCTTTTGGCAATTCATAAATTTTCCTATTCTCTATATATTCCTAACTCAAAGATAATCCATTTCCCCTAAAAATATTACCTGAGTAACTATCTGATGGAAATAAACTTTTATTTGCATTTTTATTACATAAAGTTTACCTAGATCATCAGCCATATTACCACATGTGCTGTGATATTTAATGAATCCCCCAAGTATCTTGTTATAGTATTTGGACTTTCTCCTTTTACAGTAGAGAAAATAGTTCAATTAAAAATTCCCACCAAAGTGCCTAACTAAAAGAGCAGGAAAGAAATAAAAGGAACAGAAATAAAAGAAACTATGACTCATACCTTCCCCTATCCCACCCTGGAAAACTACCACAATGCCCCTTGGGTTTACCTATATACAGAGCACCCTCCTAGAGGCAGTTACACAGTGAAGGCTGAGGAGAACACACTCCCCTAGTGGTAATCCCTGTGTAATCCTATAAATTCTCTCAGAGAAAATTTTGTTCCTATTACCCTGTTCCCATGCCCTCTCTGGTTCCCTATCATTTCCTCAATCGATGCAGAATCTTGATGACTAATATGTTGTATTTAAATTGTAAATGCAAGTAAAAGCATACCTTGCTTTAAATCTCATGGCCTGACCACAAATAATTTATTTGTAAAATGAACCTGGGTTTTGCACACTCTCTACCTAAAATACTAAAGACAGAAATGCTGAGAAGATGGAATGAGCATATCATAGGAAGAATAACAGCTATCTGTAGAAATGAGAAATGAAATCCCTAAAAAGTTACTGATGTATTTGCTTTTGTCACTACCAATGTCTTCTTACCTCCTTCCTTTTGTTACTATCATCACCTCTCATAAAAGGTTCTAGAACTCTACCCTCACTACACTCCTTCCTAGGGTGCTTTAAAAAATGTAGAACTCCCCAAACATCCTGTTCATCCCATTGCTGAAAACTTTTTTCTTTGTGTTTACGTTAATAAGTCAGTTTTTTTAAACTGCTAAAGGAAAGAAATATACTGTCTTTGATTAACCTCTATATCCATGTACATAGCAATATCATAAACAATGTACATGCCAGAAATGTTTAGTGAGATTTCCTTTCCCAGACTTTAACTCTTTTTTTTTTTTCAGACTTTAACTCCTAATAATCCAAAAACATAAAAATATTGAATTAACCAAAATGTCCTCTTTTCTTAGCTTAAAAGTACATACCTTAAGGAATTTGGTAATGATGTCCATGTCTTTATGATCATCACCTTTTCCTAAAGATTCTCCCAATGCCTGAAGAAAAATAATGCTCCTGCTCATTAGTAAAGAGCAACAAATGAATATATCTTATCAACACCAGTCTAAACATGGCTTTTTATTACACAGACTGTCCAATTTCTACTTAAAAACCTAATGGAATTTCTAAATAAAAAATTTTAAAAAACACTGATTTGCCATTTAAATTTTGAAAGCATGTTCTCTTTTATGAATCAAAAGTCTGAAGAAGGGGAAAGGGGAGTGATTGCTAATGCATATGAGATTTCTTTTCAGGGCAACAAAATTGTTCTAAAATTAGACTGTGATAATTGTGCCATTCCATGAATGTATTGAAAGCCACTGAACTGTACACTTTAAAATAGTAAATTGTGTGAGATGCGAATTTCTCAATAAAGCTGTTAAAAGGAAGAAAAAACAGCACACTCAGAACTGGTTGCTCACATCAGTTATTCCAATAAAACTTAGAGTTCATAGATAGGTGCTGTGGTGGTGGCTGGGAGAGTACAATTAAAAGGACATCCTCCTCAAATATGACATTAGCATGTGCAAGGAATGAAAGGAAAAAAAAAACACTTCACACTTTAAGAGCTTTAAACTAAGCCATATTGTTTGTTGAGGTATATATTAAATAATATAATACTGCTCTTTAGTTGAGATTACATATATCACTCCACATTCAACACTCTAACAAAAATTAGAAAACAAAAGATTGTCAGTGTTGAGAGGGTTTAGGGATATATGACACACCCTACTGGTAGGATACAGACTAATACAGCCATCTGGAGAGCAACTTAGCATTACTTAGACAAGTTAATTGTACATAAAACGATCCCACTTCTGAGTCCATGGGGGTAATGTACAAGAGAATTCTTCACAAAGCTGCTTGTGGTAACAGGGATCTGGGAGCAATTTAGTTGACTATATTATGAGGGAACACAAGGCAATGATTGCCACAAGATATAAAGTATTAGCAGTTAACAGCAAAGGTTTAGACATACATAAGGCATCAAGGATGGATTTTAAAAACAGTTCAAAGTATGAAAAGGAAAAAGCAGAAAGAAGAATTTCACAGTACAATACTATTTATGGAAATAAAAAACACATGCTCACAAAACACTACTAATTATAAAAGATCAAAAACAAATAAAATGCACATCAAACATATTCGAATAACTATTTTTAATGGCAAAAAGTAGGGGAATGTGAGTAGAGAATGAGAAAAAAGAGACTGAATGAATGAAAGCATGATAGTGTGCTTTGAACAGAGTAATCTGATGAACTCAACCATTTGTTGCAGGGAATGAAAGGTGTAACGGGAGATGAGATAAGGTAGATGTAGAAATTACCTCTAACTCTTCAATTGTGGTGTTTTCTTCATGAACTTTCAAGTCATTCTGTGTGTCTTCCTCTCCAGGTTCTTGACCACCCACAAGTTCATTGAGGTATTGCTGATCAATCTTATCCAAAGCTGCTTTCAGATCATTCCTCAATCCCTGAGAAAGGTGAAAAATTATACCGAGTTTGAAATTTCACCGATCTCTCACTTGATTTTTCACTAACACTAGGTATAATTCATCTCAGATTACCAATTAAGAGGGCAGAGTAGGTAAACACTGTACTTGCCTCCTCCCATGACCATATCAAAATTACAATTTAAATGGTACAACAATCATTACTGAGAACCATCTGAAGGCTACTATGAACTCCAAAAACCTTTGAAATGTCAACAGTATAAAACTAGTGTCTCCTCTATAGCATAGGCTAGCAACTACATTTCTAACACGAGCAAATTCCACATCCTATTAACACTCAGTTTGTGACTATTTAATAAAAGGAAAGCCTTAAACCCTGGCTGTTGTCACTCAGTGGTTAGAGCGTTAGCCCGAGCACCAAAGGGTCGTGGGTGCAAGTCCCAGCCAAGGGCACATGTCCGGGCTGCAGGCTCAATCCCCAGCCCCATTCAGGGTATGTGCAAGAGCCAACCAACTGCTGTGTCTCTCACATCAATGCCTCTCTCTCCCTCTCTCCCTCCCTCCCTCCCTCCCTCTCCCTCCCTCCCTCCCTCCCTCCCTCCCTCCCTCCTTCCCTCCCTCCCTCCCTCCCTCCCTCTTCCTCCTTCCCTTTCACTCTCTAAAAATCAATGGGAAAAATATCCAGGGGTGAGTATTAACAAAACAAAACATAATAAAAAGAAATTAAAAAAACGCTTTAAACTGGACCCTTAATTTTCACCATATACCAAAATTAACTTAAAAGGGATAAAAAAAACCTAAATCCAAGAGCTAAAACTATAAAATGTTTAGAAAATATAGGAGGAAAGCTTCATGACATTGGATTTAGAAATGATTTTTTATATAATATACAACAGCAAAAGCACAGGCAACAACTACAATAAATATAGAAAAGTTAAAAAGTTTTATGCATCAAAGATACTAACAAAAGAATGAAAAGAGAGAAGAGGGAAGATGGCGGAAGAATAGATGGGCGGATTCTGAGCCCTCTCCCGAAGCAGAAAGAGAGAGCAACTGATGGTCTTGAGCTGTGAGTGTTTATTAGCAAGCTGGGAGACAGCGAACACCAGAAGAAACTGCTGGGGGGCTGCTGACAGAGGTACCCCTCACAGGGAAGCACCCACGCGGGCTGCGTCCCTGCCCGGAGCTACCTGCCGGCTTGGATAGGGAAACCTCGCCATCTTGAGAGGAAGATAGGATCGTGTCAGAGGCCTGAATATCAACAGCCGCAGCGACCAACAAGCAACTGTGACCCCAAGAACGCGGATCCCAGGCGGCGCGAACACCTGGCCCCACAGGAGTGCCCCACTGCTCGGCGAAAAGGTCAGATTTCGCGGGGAGAGGGTGGAGCGCACTCGCGGCGAAAACAAAGCCTGCGCGCAGAACGCGGAAGCTGGAGGACAAGGGCGGCGATTACAAGTAGAAGCCCCAGCTGTTGGGCGAGTGTCACCCGTGAAAGTGGACGGGGCTCCTAACAGGGGAGATATCTAAAGAGCAACACATTTGGATCTGGCGCGGAGAGGTATCGGAGAGTTGCAGGAGATTGAGGTTGCACGGACCTGCCCCCTCCCCCCTCCGTAGTTCCTGCTTCAGAGAGGACTAAAAAAAAAAAAAAAAAAAAAAAAGCTGGAGAGGCTCTAGAGTCTGGGAAGTCAACCTAGAAACACTGCCCCCAGAGGCTAATTCACAAATTGACTCTAGTGTAATAAAAACAAAGCAAAACCCGCCTAAAAATCAGGACTGGATCATAACAATAGAGGAAGCGAATGACCTTCATTTCTGCAAATTTTATTTAAATTTTTTAAATTTTATTAATTTTTAAATTTTTAAATTTTTGTTTTTTATTTTTGATTTCAGTATTTGCAACATTTACTCAAGAAACTATTTTTTTTTCTTTTTCCTCACTTGATTTTATCTTTATAATTACTACATTATACTACTACTAAGTTACCTTTTTCATCTTATTTTTTTTGTTTATTTTTATTATTTTTATTTCATTTGATTATATATATATATATATATATATATATATATATTTTTTTTTTTTTAAATTTCAGGATTACTGTTCTACAGGCTTTATCTATCTTTCCTTCTCCAACGCTTTATTCTATCTCAACCTATCCTTTATGCCCTCACCCTCTTTCCGATATTTTCCTTTGGTACCCCGTTTATCTTAACCCTTTCCTGCTCTAGATTTTCCCCATTCCTTCTGTCTACCTCCTCCTAAAATTTCACCCTACTTCTATATATCTAATTTCCAACTACTTGCTCCGAGCCCATTTACACCTCCCTTGCAGTTGTCCTAAAAACAAAACAAAACAAAAGTCTTTCTCTCTAACACTTTGAAGTTGTATGTTGAATGCCAACTATACTGAAGTTGTATGCTTTTGTTTATAAGATTGATTTGATATGCTTTTTGTTTGATTGTATGTTTTTGCTAGCTGGGTTCTAGTCACCCTTATTGGTGGTTATTAATATTTCAAACACATCCCGATTCAGTCCCCTGTGTGTTGTACCTGGTTGTGTTGTATTTGGTGCCTTTAAATCAAAGCAGGAGAGAGAGAGAACTACACAACCAGACATCCTAGATCATGGGGAGACCAAAACATAGCCCGCATATGAAAGAAAAGCAGGCCTCACCAGAAAAGGAAGTAAACGAGATAGAGGGAAGCAACCTACCAGAGCAAGAATTCAGAGTAATGATCATAAGATGGCTAAAAAGAATGGAAGACAAATTTGACAATATGAGTAAAAACCAAGAGGAAATGAAGAAGAACCAAGAAGAAATGAAAAATGACATCGCTACTGTAAAGAACTCAATAGAAAGCATCAAGAGTAGATTAGAAGAAGCAGAGGACTGCATCAGCGAGCTAGAAGACAAGATGGAAAAACATACCCAATTAGAACAGCTTCTGGAAAAAAAAATTAAAAAACAAGAGGAAAGTCTAAGGGAACTCTGGGACAATACAAAACAAAACAATATTAGAGTAATAGGGGTTCCAGAAGGACAGGGAATTGAGGAAGACATGGAAAACGTATTTCAAGAAATAATGACAGAAAACTTTCCTGAGATAGAGAAGAAAAAACCCACACAAATCCAAGATGCTCGCAGAGTCCCAAGCAAAATGAACCCCAGAAAATCAACCCCTAGACACATTATAATTAAGCTGGCAAACACCTACGACAAAAAAAGAATTTTAAAAGCAGCCAGAGAGAGACAGAAAGTTACATATAAAGGAACCCCCATCAGACTAGCAACTGATTTCTCCACAGAAACTTATCAGGCCAGAAGGGAATGGGATGAAATATACAAAGTCATGCAAAGGAAGGGTCTGAATCCAAGAATACTGTACCCAGCAAGGCTATCAATCAAAATTGAAGGGGAAATCAGGAGCTTCACAGACAAAAACAGACTAAGGGAATTTATCTCCACCAAACCAGCAATGCAAGAAATGCTAACGGGTCTACTGTAAAGTTAAAGAAACAGAAAGCAAAGAAGGAACACAGGGGTATAGAATAAAAATGGCGTCAAATAAGTATCTATCAATTATAACTTTAAATGTAAATGGACTAAATGCTCCAATCAAAAGACATAGGGTAACGGATTGGATAAGAAAACAAGACCCATATATCTGTTGTCTACAAGAAACCCACCTCAGAAAAAAAGATGCACACAGACTGAGGGTGAAGGGATGGAAAAAGGTTTTCCAGGCAAATGGAAATGGAAAAAAAGCTGGGGTAGCAATACTTATATCGGACAAATTAGATCTCAGAGTGAAGGACATAACAAGAGATAATGAAGGTCACTTCATAATACTAAAGGGAGCAATCCAACAAGAAGAAATAACCCTGGTAAATATATATGCACCCAATACGGGAGCACCCCAATATATAAAAAAACTGCTGGAGGACATTAAGGGAGAGATTAATAGCAATACAATCATAGTAGGAGATCTTAATACCCCACTGTCACCCTTTGACAAGTCATCTAAACAAAAAATCAGCAAAGAAATATCAATCCTAAATGACTCGCTAGACCAGATGGAATTAATCGACATCTTCAGAACATTCCACCCCAAAGCCACAGAATATACATTCTTCTCAAGCGCACATGGGTCATTCTCAAAGATAGACCACATTTTGGGACATAGGCAAAGTCTCTTCAAATTCAAGAAGATAGAAATCATATCAAGCATCTTCTCAGATCATAGTGGCATAAAACTGGAAATTAACTACAACGAAAAAAATCCAAAGAAATCAAACACATGGAGACTAAACAGCATGCTATTAAACAAGGACTGGGTTACCAGAGAAATCAAGGAAGAAATTAAAAACATCCTGGAAACAAATGACAATGAAAACACAACTATCCAAAATCTATGGGACACAGCAAAAGCAGTTTTGAGAGGGAAGTTCATATCCCTACAAGCCTATTGCAAAAAACTAGAAAAAAGGGTAACAAATGATCTAACTCTACAACTCAAAGAGTTAGAAAAAGAGCAACAAGAAAAGCCCAGTGTAAGCAGAAGGAAGGAAATAACAAAAATCAGAGCACAGATAAATGACATAGAGACCAAAGAAACAATACGTAAGATCAACAAAACCAAGAGCTGGTTCTTTGAAAGAATAAACAAGATAGATGGACCCCTAGCCAGGCTAACCAAGAAACAAAGAGAGAGGACCCAAATAAACAAAATCAGAAACGAAAGAGGTGAAATAACAACAGATCCCGCCGAAATACAAAGAATTGTTACAAAATACTACGAACAGCTCTATTCCAATAAACTGAACAACCTGGAGGAAATGGACATATTCCTAGAAAAATACAACCTTCCAAAACTCAATCAGGAAGAATCTAAAAATCTAAATAGACCAGTGACTGGGGAAGAAATTGAAACAGTCATCAAAAAACTTCCAGCAAACAAAAGCCCAGGGCCAGATGGCTTCACAGGAGAGTTTTACCAAACATTCAAGGAAGAACT